CTCCTCATTTAATAATCCTCATTAACCCTGCCCCAAATTAATAACCGCTCATTAACCCTGCTCCTCATTAATGATCCCCAATTAAACCTCGGCCAGTGCTGCCAAGGCCATCTCCTGCCCCAATTAACACTCATTAATTAATGCTAATTAACCCTGCTCCTCATTTAATAACCCTCATTAACCCCGCCCTTCATTAATAACCGCTCATTAACCCTGCTCCTCATTAATAATCCCCAATTAAACCTCGGCCAGGGCTGCCAAGGCCATCTCCTGCCCCAATTAACGCTCATTAAATAATGCTAATTAACCCTGCTGCTGATTAACTAACCCTGATTAACCCCTCCCCCAATTAATAAACCCCAGTTAACGCCCCAAACCCCAAATTTATCACCCCAAAAAACCCCCAATTAATGCCTCCCAAACCTAATTAACACCCCCTCACCCCTAATTAACTCCCCAAATAAACCCCAATTAACTCCCCCAAATCCTAATTAACGCCTCCAAAACCCTAATTAACCCCAATTAATTCCCCCAAACCCCAATTAACAGCCCCAAAAAAACCCAATTAATGGCCCCAAACCCCAATTAAGGCCCCCAAGCCCTAATTAACCCCAATTAGCGCGCTAATTAACCTGCAGGGAGAAGCAGAGATCCTCCGGGGTCGCCTCCCCCGACTGCAGCAGCTTCGGGGTCACGGCCTGGGGAGATTTGGGGAAATTTTGGGGATTTTGGGAGATTTGGGGAGATTTTGGGATTTTGGGGAGATTTTGGGGATTTTGGGGAGATTTTGGGGATTTGGGGATTTTGGGGATTTTAGGAGATTTTGGGGATTTGGGATTTGGGGATTTTGGAGATTTTCAGTTTAGGGTTTTGGGAGATTTTGGGATTTGGGATTTTGGGGTTTGGGATTTTGGGGATTTTGGAGATTTTGGGTTTAGAATTTTCAGAGATTTTGGGGATTTGTGGATTTTGGAGATTTTCGGTTTAGGATTTGGGGATTTGGGGATTTTGGGGTCCCTAGAGGATTTTGGGGTCCCACAGGTATTTTTGGGGTCAGATCCGGGGATTTTGCGGTCCCTGTAGAGTTTTAGGGTCCCAGAGGTATTTTTGGGGTGAATTCTGGGGATTTTGGGTACCTGCAGGTGGGAGAGCAGCCCCGAGAAGGAGACGTCGAGGCCCTTGACCACGTAGGGCAGCGGGATCAGGCGGCGGCCCCTGGCGGTTTGGGGCGAAATCCGGGGATTTTGGGTCAGGTGCGGGATGTGGGGGGAAATCCGGGGATTTGGGGGAAATCCGGGGATTTTCGGTCACTTTGGGGTCAGATCACAGGATTTGGGGTCAGATCCAGGGACTTGGGGTTAAATCCTGGGATTTTAGGGTCAGGTTTGGGGTCAGATCCGGGGATTTTGGGGTCAAATCCAGGGATTTTGGAGTCAAGTTTGGGGGCAGTTTTGGGGCTATTTTTGGGTTAGTTTTGGGTCACTTTGAGGTCAGTTTTGGGATCAGTTTTAGGGTCACTTTTGGGTTAATTTTAGGTGAATTTGGGGTGACTTTAGGGTCAGTTTTGGGGTCATTTTTGGGTTGGTTCTGGGGTGTTTTGGGGTCAGTTTTGGGGTCAGTTCTGGAGTCAGTTCTGAGTCATTTTTGGGTCATTTTGGGGTCACTTTTGAGGTCACTTTTCGGTCATTTCTGTGTCAGTTTTGGGGTCATTTTTGGGTTAGTTCTGGGGTGTTTTGGGGTCAGTTTTGGGTCATTTTTGGGTCATTTTGGGGTCACTTTTGAGATCACTTTGAGGTCATTTTTCTGTCAGTTTTGGAGTCATTTTTGGGTTAGTTCTGGGGTGTTTCGGGGTAATTTTGGGGTCATTTTTGGTGTCACTTTTGAGGTCACTTTGAGGTCATTTTCGGGTCACTTTTGGGTCATTTTCGTGCCACTTTTGGGGCATTTTGGGACGTTTTCAGTCACCTCTTGGCCATCTGCTCCACGTTGTAGCCGGGGCTGGGAGCGTTGGGGATCTGCGGGAAAAGGGGCGGGGTCAGAGCGGGCGTGTCCTTGGCATGTCCTTGGCGTGTCCTTGGCGTGTCCGTGGCGTGTCCCACCTGCAGCAGCCGGGCCAGGCGGTCGATGCAGTTGCCCAGGGCCACGTCCAGGGTCTCGCCCAGGATCCGGTACCGGCGCCGGGCGTAGGCGATCACCTGCGGGGCCGGGGCGCGACATCCTCGCGATATATCGCGATATCCTCATGATATCCTCGCGATTGCTCACGATATATCGCGATATCGGCCGCTATCACACGATATCTCCAATATTTTGTGATATCGGCCGATATCCTCACGATAGCTCGCGATATATCGCGATATCCTCATGATATCCTCACGATAGCTCGTGATATACCGTGATATCGGCTGATATCATCACGATAGCTCGTGATATATCGCGATATCGGCCGCTATCACACGATATCTCCAATATTTTGTGATATTGGTCGATATCCTCACGATAGCTCGCGATATCAGCCATTCCCCCCTCTCCTATCACGATATTGGCCATTCCCTCCCCCTCCCCTCATGATATCACCCCTCCCCTCACGATATCACCCCTCCCATACCCCCCATCCCCCCCTCACCCTCCCATCCCCCCCATCCTCCCAGACC